ATTTATAGATAACAATAATTAAAAATAGTGTATATTTATATATAATTACTAAATGAGAAAATTTCAAAGTTGTAACAAAGTATGTTTTAACAAATACTAAATAAGAAAATTTCAAACAACGTAGATTTTAAGTACAAAGTTGTAACCGAAGTTGTAACATATAGTATATCTTAACAAAAAAAGATTTAAATTTTACATGAAATTTAATATATGCAAATATAGCATATTAATGAAATATAGTGTATAAAGTTAAATTTTTCACATTTGATGTCTATTTAAAGCTCTAATTCACGCTGCTTTATAACAAGTATGCAGCTTGCTTTAAATGCAATTACTTGCAAGTTGTGGGAATGGTTTTATGTATTTAGTTAATAAAATTACTTTTTAATTATTATTTAATTAATACTGCTTTTCCAAACATACCTTAACCATAAGCAGACATTGATCACCTAACACGAGTGTTAGTACTCTGTGGTACACCCACAGAAGAAACATTAAGCAAAATTACTAGCCAAGAGGTAAATTTGTTTTTTAAATCTACATATACATTAAATTTTATATTAAAACTTAAAATGTAATCATTATACATAAAAGAAATACAAATATATACTTTTTAAAACTAACTTTTGACTCTTAATTTTATATCTAATATATAATATTTATGTTTATATAGTTTGTTTATAATGCTTCGGATTATACAATTCATAATTTTACTATTGTAAAAATGTAAATTTAAAATTTTGGAAGATTTATATAAAGATAAAGAGATATATGAAATATATAGAGAAAGTATAATATAGAGTGTACATGTGCAGGATATAGTTTAATAAATAACGTTATAATTTTTCTATCATAATTGAATTATTGTTACAGGCTAGAAATTATATTCAGAGTTTACCACCGTTAAAGAAAAAAAATTTCAAAGATGTATTTCGTGGGGCTAATCCATTAGGTAATTAAAAAAATATCTGGTAATTTATATTGATGCTTGTCGAACAATGCATATAGAATCATATCGAATTTTTGTCTAGCTATTGATTTGCTGGAATTGATGTTGGAATTGGATGCAGAAAAAAGGATTACAGCGGAACAGGCTTTAGCACATCCGTATCTTGCACAATATGCGGATCCAACTGATGAACCCGTTTCTCTACCATATGATCAGAGTTTCGAAGATATGGATCTTCCAGTAGAGAAATGGAAAGGTATGCATTTTACTAATGCCTGTTTTAATTTAGAGCATTATCAACATTGAGTAATGGTTATTGTCACTTATAGAACTTGTGTACCATGAGGTTGTAAACTTCGTCCCACAGCAGCTACCTACATTGTCTTCAACAATTGAAACGACTTCTTAAGAACAACTTCTTAAAAATAGTTATAACGCGTGTAATATAGATTTAAGCACAGTAAGATACAATAATATAGATTAACAATAGATGATCATGAGTGAAAAATATACATTATGTATAATTGTTCTATACGAAAATAATATTGTATATATAATTTATAAATAACGTAGTATATCACTGAGCTAATTTCTAGAAGATAGGATATATATTTTTGTCGAAAAGAAAACTATAAACTTGCTTACGGTTTAATTATGTAACTCAATTATCAGTTGATTATCAATGTCTATTACACAGCAATCTTGTTGTGTATACATTTTTTTAGTTATTTTATCAAGTATCAGTTCTCTTAGTCCGTGAAAGAGATCATTATGCAATGAATTGATTTTATAAAATATTTGATTATTATCATATATAAATTATGATGAACCTTGCCATACAATCAAAATATATAGTATCAAATATATATACATATATATAACATTTAGACTTAAATACATAATAATATATTAATTGTAGTACTTATTATTTTTAATTATGCTACTACTAAATCAAAAAACGATATTTGTAACTATAAATCCGCCCGCATTTTCCAAACTTTAACAAAACGACCAATTGTTCGCTGAAATCTAAGAAAATTAATTCCTACTGCAATAGAGAAAACATAAATTGTAGCAATAAAGTAGAATATACAAGGCAATGTTATAAATTAGGAATTGCATACTTGATGAACAACAAAAGATATTTTGTCATGTAAACATAAGGTATAAAATTTACAAAACAAATGGACAATTTATATTTATACTACTAATGTGTGATACGAAAAAAGAAATATGTACGAAAATATATTTGAAATTGATGAGATTTAATACCTCATTTCCATTCTAAACCTGTCATTTATTTTGTAATGATGCACATATACATTGCATCCTTCATCTTTTTCTTCTCTTTCTAAATTTCTATGTATTTGTAATCGATCGGTACAATGAAGAAGCATATTGTAACATTTGTGATATATTTTCTTTGCCAATCATACACGTTTTCTGATCAAAAATATCAGCTAAATACAAATCAGTGTTTAAACTTGTGTTTAAATCTATTTTTTGATCTTGATAGTGTTGATTAAAAAGGTTAAATAACCTAATTGATTTATCATAAAATATTTTTTAATATGCCAAATGCATGGGCCGAGGATCATACCGAGAAATTAATAGCACTTTATGGACAATATCAATGTTTGTGGAATCCATTCCATCCCGAGTTTAATAACAAATCATTGCGTTACGAAGCGTATAAGAAGATAAAAAATTCCATTAATATTCCTGGATTAACAATATGTGCTTGTATTAACAGGATTGTGAATGTAAAAAAAGAATACTGTTATGAACTATCAAAAATCGCTGCAGCTATATCTTGCGAAAAATTATACGTGCCAAAAGTGAAATGGTTTAAAAGAATGCATATGCTTTTCTTCCCATACATGCCATTATCTCATAATAATTTTAGAAAGGTATGCAATAAAAATAATATATAAAAAATGATTATATAAATTTCTTTGTTAAATTATACTTGTGTGCTATAAAACATTATATAGTAATTATAAAATTATATATAAATATTATTGAATTTTAAAATTATTATTATAAATTTGTTCATGTTTATAATGCATCTGTTGTTTTTATGTTATATTTGTAATATATATCGCAAAAAAATGCACAAATATATTTGCAGCAAGATAACAATCATCAAAAATTTAACGATAGCAATATTCAAGATAAATTTTGGCATTTATCTTTTGAGAAATCAGGGGACAAACAAATTTGCTCAAATAATACTTGTGGAACGTGTGAACTCCAAGAAATTGAGTTGTGTTTAAAATTGAGGTCTAAAATTGATTTACTATTTATATATATTTTGTATAACTATAAGATATCATGAAATATGATTACAATAATATTTTTCAAGTGCAGAGATACCGTTCATTCTGCTCCGAAATTGCAAGATACTGTCGTCCCTTCTGCAACTATCCAAACGGTTGATGTAGCGACAGAAACGGGTAATGGTATCGTAGAACAAGAAACGCAAACGGATTTGCTCCATGTTAGAAACAAATACAAGATATTAATAAAGTATAAAATACAGATATTTTCAATAACGTTATATCATATTAATAGGAACGAAAATACATCGCAGGCGACAATGAAGGAAAACAGGTTTATATGTACTAAGTAACAGCGAGTAATTTATAATATTAATTTTTCAAGAGGAAAGGAGGAAACAATATAAAATCTTTTATAACAGGATCGTTCTACATGTATAGATATTCCTATAGAAGTGTATGGCAGAAAAAAAGTTGAAGATAACTTTGATATATTCGGGAAAAGCATAGCGTTTCAATTACGAACTATTGATATTCGTGAGTAAAATCTGTTGATTATAGTAGGAAATAATTGTCACTAAAATAGCTTGTTTTTAGAGACCGCTGTGGAATTGGAAAAAAAAATACAAAATTTATTAACAAAAGCGCGATTAAAAATTTTACAATCTAAATTAATGGATCAGAGTGACAACTCAATCTGCTGTTACGATTATAACGATTGTGAAGTAATGTGTAAAGATGGAACTTGTAACTGTGGTCTAACATTAAAGGAATGTTTATTACTTGCTAAAATTAAAGAGAGCAAGAATTATGGTAGATTTTGCTACAAGTAGTAGACGAGATTAGAACAAGTATCTTGGCAATATTGATTTACCAATGTGTGATTGCAATCAATATTTTTAGTTAAATTGTTATTTAAAGTTAGATTTATGTATAAGTGTAATTATATATTGAGAGGAAATAAATTCTTTAGTTAAACACATATATGATAAATATCAATAAAAATATTAACAAATGCAAATAATGTGATCTTTTTTGCTGACAATATTTTTATTAATGTGTAGAACAAAATATACTTTGTAAAGAAAATATTTAAGTAAATAGTTATAAAGTAATTATATACATATAAGTAGTAAATTGATATTAAACAATAAAAAATTCTCGTTATATCCGTGATATAAAAAGACATCATGGTTTTTTTTACATCTGGTTATATCGAATATTATTGATATAAATAGACATATTCACTTAAGACTTTATAAATCGCAGTTTTCTTCATGTGACACACAAAATTGTATAAGTTTTCTATTCATAAAATATATAAATTGAGTGTTGCTATTGATGAATTAAATATAATTATGTCTTTAAAATGGAACGAAAATGTTATCCTTATTTTTTTAAATGCATATCAAAAGCACCCATGTCTTTGGAATCCATATTATGTGAAATATTATGATTGTTTAGCCAAAAATGATGCACTCAAGAATATAATTAAAGAACTTAACATACCCGAATTGAATATATCTGATTGTCTAGAACAGATTAAATTGATAAGAAAAAAGTAAAAATTTAACATATAAGAGTAAAACATAAAGGATAAAAATTTTTATTTATTTTTGATGCGGAAATTTATATTCGATATTTACTCATCCAGATTGAATTAGTTTTAAAAGTGTTTTTCTTATCTTAGATATGGACAGGAACAAATAAGAGTTATCAAAGGGTTTCAATCAGGCAAATTATATGAATCTCCTTTTGCTTGGTTTCCTATAATGGTTGAAATGTTAACAAAGGTGATTGACGATGAAAGTAAATTGCAGGTAAAATATATAATATAATTTATATGTATGTATATATATATATATATATATAATTCGAAGGATATTATTTATAAAGGAAATTATTCTGAAAGGAGTAGACATCAATTTTTCAAAATAATTTATAAATTGGTAGATCATGCATTGAGATATCAATAATAAAAATTTTAATATTTTAATGAATTATTTATATTATTATGGATAGAACAGAACAGTGAAAATGCTATCTCCTGTAAAAGATTGCATTACTATACCATATGACAACAACAGCAGATATAAAAATGTATCTAATTTTTCTTGTATGCAAGATTATAAGACAAAATCAAGAAAAAACAGTAAATTTACAAAATCTGGTAAAAAAAAGTATTTAAGGAATAATCATTTCTATTTTAATTTGCTGTTATAAAGTGAATTTATGTATTACTCATTCAAACAATATGTGCCAGGGAATTTTGAACATGAAAGTGAAGGACAGAGTAATACACAATTGCTGCAGTGTCCATCTTGTGGTTGGGAAGATATAAATCCTAACAAATTGGATATAAAAACTGTGAAAACAACTTACGAAAATATAAAACCATTAAACACAGTTCCTTGTCCAGAATACTCCAATTTAGCTAATAAACTTAACGGAGGATACAAAGCACATCGAATAATAGACAATATGTATCAAGGAAAATACGAGAATATAATTTCATGTCCAACCTTTTCTAGCGGATTACCTAGTTATACAGGCTATTCTACAGACATATCGAAAACTAACTATATATACTATCCACAAAGCACTTGCAATTACATAAATCAACAAATGAAACAGACGACACCAGTAGCAATTGTTGCATCCAAACCAAAATTCTGTACAAGAAAAACACAATTATCAAGCAAACAATTATTTCCGGAAAGACAAACGAAACAAGTAGGGACCATCATTGAGCAATACAATAAGGGAATACAAAATACAGTTTACGTGTCGAAAGGAAAGACAGATATTGTACAGAAATGCTATAGAGAAATCCAAAGTAAGCCTTTAACATCTCAGGAAGTGTCAAAGCAAGTAGCAGTAAATACTGTGGAACAATGTGATAAGGAGATTCAGAATACTATTTGTGCAAGTCCAAGTAATTGTCAAGTTTTTCAAATATATTCTTCGACACAAGAAGTAAAGCCAATTGATGCAAATACCATGAAATGCCCTACAAACGACATGCGAAATACGATTGGTATAAAATTAAAGATCGTAGAAGGTTCTATGCCGAATTTTATACTGATAACTACCGATGGAAATTATTTGTCACTGATACAAAGAGATTTGGAGGAATTCACAACTAATAAATGTCAGAAAGATACTGGTAATCATGATCAGAAAGATTTTTAAATCTCATGATATCAGGGAATAGAAGTAACGCGTTAATTGTTACCGTTACTTTTTTTTGGTAATGGTCTTTTTTTTGTAACTGTAATAGTAACGTAATTAAATTTGACTTTCTATTCCTTGTAAGAGATATACGAGGTGTGATCAAAAAGTAAGGTGACTTTTCATTTTTATAAAAAAATATTCATTTATTCATCCAAAATTATGTTATCCTCTTCAAAATAATCCCCCTCTGATACAATGCACTTGTGCCAGCGCTTTTTCCAGTCGTCAAAACACTTCTGAAAAACACTTTTGGGTATTGCCTTGAGTTCCTCCAGCGATGCAGCCTTAATCTCCTCAATCGTCGCAAATCTTCGTCCTTTCATGGGCCTTTTCAATTTTGGGAAGAGGAAAAAGTCGCAGGGGGCCAAGTCTGGTGAATACGGTGGCTGAGGCATGATGACAGTATTGTTTTTGGCCAAAAAACTACTCACTAGTAACGACGTGTGCGCAGGTGCATTATCATGGTGCAGAATCCATGAATTTTTTTTCCACACTTCCGGACGTTTTTTTCTTATTGATCACGCAAACGCCACATAACCTCAAGGTAATACTTGTTAAGGGGTTGGCATAAATGTCAAACCAGTCTAGGGTCTAGTGGTGAGGTTGG